TTCCCTACAAATCTGTAAGCGTGTTCCCGTAACAAGTTCTGGGTTTGGACAAGTTGGTGTTGCCCAACAAAAACTTTTTATTGGAAAGTTCCCCTGAATTGTCATTATTTGGGACACGTCCTTGCTGGAAAGCTACTAACAGACCACAAGGAGACCCAGGGGAGAGCAAGGAAGGAGGAAATCCCTAAGGAGGGACTGAGCACGAGGATAACTTGAGAGGGGTGAAGAGCTCCGAGCTTGAGGAATGACAGCTGTTTGCACCGTCACTGAAGAGGAGATGCAGGGCTCGGGACGGCTCCGCGGTCACAGACCCGATAGGAAGTGGGAGGACACTGGCCGCAGTGGGAACATACACGTCTGTGCTCTCAACCACAGATGCTTTGGACTGCAGAGCATCTCCCATGGGACGTAGTCTCACCGTAGGGCCACATTCATTTTTTTCCTCCTAAAAGGAAGCCAGCGCAGTTTGCAGAGAAGGTCGCTGCCACGCACGTCGAGGAAAACAAGGACAAAAGTGTCTGTGTTTGAGCAAAGCTACAGCTGTAGAGCAGGGCACGAGCGAAACGGCCACTGTCTTTTCTGGGTTGGAGCAACCAAACGCGATGTTTTTAAGCAAGCTTGCTACTTAAAAATTTAAACATTTTTTCTCTCCAAGGGATTTTCAAACTGTTTCCATTCCCTTAGGTTCAAAATGAGCTCATGTTCGGGGCTAGTAGAAAATTTTGCCAAGCCTGTGCCAAGGAATTTCCTTCCTTTGCCAAGGAATTTCCATTTTCATTACCGAAAACTTGGAGCACAATGGAATAAAGACACAAGTTTCCCACAAACGGCCACATTTCAACAAGCTCATCTTTTCTTCTGAAATATTTTGACCCCTTCTACTTAAATCCTGTGGCATTTCTTCTCAGAGAAGCACAGAAGAACAAGGCTGGAAGTCATCAGTGCAACCCCCTGCTCAGGCGGGATCACCCCTCTCTGAACTATCCTAGCCACGTGGTTGTGTAACCTGCTCCTACAAACCTCCAAGAAGGGAGGTTTCACCACCTCTCTAGGTACCCGTCGCAGTGTTGGACCACCCTCAGGGTTAGAAAGGTCTCCATAATATCCAACCTGAACCTCCCTTGTTGCAATTTAAAGCCCATTGCTTCTTGTCCTGTCCCCGGTGACACAGAAAATAGTTTATCACCAACTTTATAACCAGCCTTCAGGACCCCCCACCAACAAGTCTTCTTTCTCCAGACTGAACCAGCCCAGTCCTTCCAGCCTCTCCTCCTCTCCACCTGCAGTGATCTCAGGCCCTCACCTGCAGATGCACAATCAAGATCTCTGCCAGCTCGCTCAGCAGCGTCCTCTGCATAAGGCTTTCCTTTTTCTTCCATCAGCAGCAGGATCTTGGGTTTCGGAGCGTCACAACCTGCACGTTACAAACCAGCAGAGACAATCAGAGCCTGCCACTGCATCGTTGTGTCATCCAGCAAAAGGCTGTACAGAAAGTCTCCCGCTCCCTTAGGAGAGATGCTGGCTTTCCACTGCACCATGGGGACCAAATGGATGAGCAGCAGCTCTGCAGGAAAGGACCTGGTGGGGACAGGGGACAAGAAGCTGAACAGGAGCCAGCAGTGTGCCCTTGTTGCAGAGAAGGCCACTGGCATCCCGGGCTGCATTGGTAGGAGCGGTGCCAGTAGGTCCAGGGAAGTGATTCTTCCCCTCTGTTCAGCACTAGGAAGCCCCATCTGGAGTCCTGTGTCAAGCTGTGGGCCCCCCACCACAGAAAGGATGTGGACACGTTGGAAAGAGTCCTGTGGAGGGGAATGAAAATGGTTGAGGGCTGGGGGACAGGACTGGTGAGGAGAGGCTGATGGACATAGGCTGGTTTATAGTCTGCAGAAGAGAAGACCGAGGGGGATTGAACAGCAGCCTTCACCTCCCTGCGGGGAGGCAGTGGGGGCAGATGAGCTCACACTGCTCTCAGTAGGAGCAGATGACAGGACAAGGAGCAATGGGCTCAGGCTGCAGCAAGGGAAGTTGAGGTTGGAGATTAGGAAAAACTTTCTCCCAAGGAGGGTGGTGAAGCACTCTCTGCCCAGAGAGGTGGTGCAGTCTCCATCCCTGGAGGTGTTTAAGACCCAGGTAGACAAAGCCTTGGCTGGGATGATGTAGTTGGGGATGATCCTGCTTGGAGCAGGGGGTTGGACTAGATGTGACTCCTGAGGTCCCTTCCACCCTCCTCGTCTGTGATGTGGTCTGAACATAGGACTGGGGCTCAGGCCCCGCTCTGCACTATTGCCCAGCTCTGACACAGATTCCCCTTTGGCTCCGGGAGTATCACCTAGCCCCTTCCCAGCTCTCATAAATATACCACCACAGCACCGACTGTGCTTCCCACTTCCATACTGGCTTTGCTTTAACAGGAACGCAGCAATTGCTGGACTGAATCCAACACTATTTTCAACAGCAACCACTAACAGGCAGCGAGAGGAGCCCAGCCTTTATTCTATGCGTGGAAGACCAAGCCTCAAGAAGAGGCCAGAGAAGCACGGGGCACGGATGGTTTCGGGGCAGCCTTCTGCATTCATGATCCCCAAGGTCCCTCCCAGCTCTAGGAGTCTAAGCCTGCAGGGCAAATTTCTTCCTCGCTGCCAAAAATTAAAGGGTGGCTTTTGCCCCAGAGCATGAGGGCTTTGATCCGATCCAAACGATTCCTAAACCCTCATTACGGCAAGTCCCAGTGCTCCCATTACCCGCATCTGTGACAGGACACGTTTTACTGCTGCTGGCACTGGGGGTCAAACAGCTGCATGACAAGGCAAGCAAAGCTGCACCTTTGTCCACTTTGTGAAGTTCCCAGGTAACATCCCCATCCTGGTGGCAAAAGAGACCAAAAAACCCCGCACCCTGAGCCTGCAGGGACCGCAGCGGGGTACTGCCAACGTTGCAGAGAGCAACGGGGCATTGCGAAGGCATCTGTTTTAGACTGGGCTTTTCCTTTTTTTTAAATATGTGCATCACAAAGTTTTTGGGCCGTTGGCAAGGGAGAAGCCACTTTTGCCACAAGGATAATGACCCAGGGCTACTCACGGCGGTGACCTGGCCGCTTGTCTGGGCAAAACCAAAGACACGAGCGTGCAAGGAGCAGGGACTGCAGTGCCCAGCGTGCTGAGCCCCAAGAGCTCTTACTACCCTTGATAAAAAGCAGGGCTAGAAGGCGCTCTCAGCACAGAGGGGGAACCCCCACCTCCACTTCTACGATTCCCCCAAGCTCCCCCAGTGCCAGAGGTGAGAACAGAGCCCGGGTCTCACGAGTCTCAACCCGGTGCCTCGACCCCTATTTAAAGGCCTGGTTTCCAGGGCTGCCAAGCCGAGAGCTGCCGCCAGCAATTCAAGGGGTGGAAACCTCAAGCCACGTCCATCGCGCTCCATCACTTACCCAGCGACACCAGTGTCTGGTAGCTCTCCACCATCACATCCCAGTACAGCTCCCTCTGCCATTCCGCCAGCATCTCCCACTGCCCCCGAGCGAAGGAGACGCAGATGTCCTCGAACGACACTGGGACCTGAAAGGGCAAGTGTTACGCGCTCACCTTTGCCTCGATGCCTCAAGCCAGCCCAGGCCACAATGGGGCTACCTGCTCTCCACGCCTACCACCCTGCTGCACCGCCAAAGCGGTCGGTGGTCCGCGGGAGCCTCGCAGCCCATTGGACTGGCGTGGCTGCGATGCACCAGGTTTTGCCTCCGGCGGCAGGCTAGAAAGCACCGTGGACAGCATCGCGTCCAGCCACCTTGGACTCTGCAGCCCCAGTGAGCAGGTGCCTGTTTGCAGCTGGGTGGACTGCAGGCAGCTTTTGGCACAAGCCCAGAAAAGAGCTCAAACTCACCCCTCTCGAGCCGTGGCACTCTGCTACCGCTCCCCTGCCACGCAGCCAGCCAGGGCAAATCTCCTTTGAGAACTGCCTTTAGGAAATGCTTCGTCTTGTAGTCTGGTTAATCCTGCGAGTGCTTTTAGGAGTGGCTGACAGTCCTCACCCTCCGGCCCTGGTCTGTCCCGCTGTCCAACACTACCTCCCTCTCTCCTAGTACGTCCCTGGCTGGCTCCATCCGTCGTCTCTTGCCTTGGACTGAATGGCAGGGGCCTTCGTTTTGTTCTGTGTCTGTACAGCGCCTTGCACACCGGGATCCGGATCCATGGCTGGGGCTTCTGGGCGCTGCAGTAATGCAAACAAATACCCATCGTTCCTCCTGTTCAGACAGTAGCTTAATATCTGCCAAGCTTTATAACCCACAGAGCTGTCAGTGCATTTCTTTTTCAAAAGGAAATAACCCCAGGAACGACTTCCATCGCTCACCCAGCTTTGACGGGAGGTATTAAGGAAGGGGAAACCCCCCCTGCAGAAATTGTTAGGAGCTATTAAATTGAATTTCCCTAGAAAAAAGCTGAAAAAGTGTTGTACAGCACTGAAAGTAGTGCTGCTATTGGCAGCGGGAGTGCTGTGCCCTGCTGCAGTGCTTTGCGAGGTGCGGGCTGGTTCAGTGGGTGTCAAAGGGCAACAGAGAAATGCTCTCTCAAACTTAACATGGCATGCTGGGCATCGGGACAGGTGTTTGATCAGGATGACCCCTATCAAATAGCCCGTTAGCCAAGTCATCACCAAAAGGCAAACGAGCATGTGTGTCCTTCCGTGACAGCCTGCGCAGAAACTGCACGGGTTTCTAGATAGGAGAGTAATGGATTGCTGCAGGATGCAGTTTGCAAACCTCTGCCGGCGTGCGTCTGCTAGGCTGCACACATTTCACATGCAGTAGGACAGAGTACGGCTCTCCCTGAAACACGCCTGCTGCCCTCCACGATCCCGGTCCTCACCAGCGCGGGGGGAAAGCTGTCGAGCCTGTCTCCCGTTCCTCAGCCAGGTGATTGTCAGCAGTTGTAAAATCAGAGAGCGCAAAGCATTGCTTTTCTGCCAGGCCAGTCAAGCCCTTCAACGTGCCCTGCCGCACTTCGGTACGCCCATACCCTCTTTGCTAAACCTTCCCACCCTGCATCTTGAGCGGGATAATTACAAGGTCCAGCTTTCTACTTCTGCCTTTTGGAAAATGGCTGTTCCCAGGTGGACTCTGAGCACTGGGCAGGGGAGGTTAGAGCATGGAGGGATCCCTCCCTCCAGCTCCCAGGGCTTTAACTGGTCAGGTTGATCCCGTACTCTGCATGCAGGGAAAACCCACTGAGGTCAATGGGGGTTTTGCCTGAGGGAAGACTCGGGAGTCGGGTGCACACAGCATGTCGGAAACATGCTTTGCATGCACAAAAGCAGGGCTGCCCACGCGTGTCAGAGCTTTGCTGGTCCCACATTGCCATTTCTAAAATATTCTTCCCTCCTATTAAAAAGCTTCTGCTCCTTCTCTGCATTGCACAGAGGCTGGCAGCGATTGCGCAGGTTCTTCGCAGGCGCTTAGCAAGGATGTTGTGCCTGGAACGTATCCAGCTCTGCAGCACTGACGCCGCCGGCCACAGCCGAGAGGAGTCCCATTGCCCCCTCCGTTATTTCCGTGCTGAAAGATCATCACCCAAGAGTAAGGGCGGATGGTAAAGAGCTGGCACTCTGCAAAGCCCAGACTTCAATCTCTTACCTGCAAGGCAGAATCCTTCGCAGGCATCTTGCTCCCTCCCTTCCCAGCAGCCACGGGCTCACGGAGCCACCCTGCAGCAGCTTCAGGGCCCCTGCTTCATCAAAGGTAAAGATGCATCTCCTGGGGTCTCCTGCACCTGAGAGCATCAGCAAGGTCTCAGGCTCAGGGGGAAGGTTTGCAGGAGGAAATCATCTCTCCGACAGGAAACGGGCCACACTGCAGCTCCCATTGGCTAACGGGGAGGCAGGCGGAGCAGCTGAGAGCTGCCTGATGCTAGCAGCAGCTGCTGAGTACTTTGCTTAGGCTCCCTGGGCGAGGGCAGCCAGCCCCTCCGCAGACTTGGGGGCGAAGTTGCAAAGCACGGTAGGTGTCCCCTGAAGGCCCATCCAACCCCACAATGCTGTGCTTTTTATTGCTTGCACTCGATTCGCCTTTAGTCATAATCTGCACTGCACCGGCGCAGGTCAGGCTCTTTGAGAAGTTGGCCCCTCCAGAGGTCACGTCCAGTCCAACCCCTGCCGAAGGCAGGATCAGCCCTGTCCAAACCATGGATGACGGGAAAGAAACAGCAGACCTCATCTGGTGGAGAGGGGTCTGGCATAGACTTTTTCAGGAGTAGAGGAGGGCAGCGAGTGGGGGTACAGGTATAGGGGTGCTTGCGCGGTGCGAACTGTGTAACGGGTTTTCAGTGTGCGTTGAGCTGCCAAGTGAACTGCAAGGGTCACTTGGCAGTGTTGGAGGTGGAGTTGTATATATATACACATATATATATATATATATATGTGTATATATATATATATATATATATATAAAAATATTTTTGCAAAAGAAAACAACCCATCAGCTACTGCTAAGCGCTCTGTAGTATTCCACAGGTAATAAGATGCCTCTTCCCTCTTAAATGACCTCACGCTGTTGCATAGCTAGTGTCTGCCTTTCAGCTGCCCTTTACTTGGCTTGTAGCTGCTTCTGCTCGCTTATCTTTGCTGCACAGGGTTACTGCCCCCTTCCATGTCTTTAGGTGTCTCTTTTCATTTAAAAAATCATCACTTTATCTGCTTTAGCTCAGACTGCTTCAGCCCCAGACCTTGTCTGCCATCTCTCCTAGCCATACGGTGGGTGTAATCAAAGATATTAACACCACCTCATCCCACCCTGTGATGCTCATGCCATGCCTGGGACCGGGAGAGGAGCACCACCATTACTGCCCTGCCTTTTATGTGGGGGAAACTGAGGCACAGGGACATGAAAGAACCCATTTCTGTCTCTGTAGCTTCCCACAGGGCCCCGTCTCCATGCCATCCCACACCGCTGTCCCTGGTTGTGACGAGGGAGAGCTGCGAAACGCTGCTCGCCCTGCTGCATTACATATACTACACAATGAACTGGTTGATCGTGCAATAAAGTTCGACCGGCCACACTTGCCAAGTAATTATCACAGGATAAAAATGGCTCTCCAGCTATAAAAAGAACCAACCAGCTATAAAGTGCTTGAAAAGGTGTAATAACGCTACAGCTTGTTTCTATCCAGCGTTCACCGGACGGTGTAGCAGGGCTGTGAGGTATCCAGACGGCTTTTCCCGTAGGGCCACTGTCAGAGTGGGTGGAAGCATCTATCAAGCTTGAAGCCTCCAGCAAAGACCAGCAGCTGGTGTGAAACCGTGGACGGCTCCTCTCAGCTGAAGCCAATGAATACTAGAGCCCCAGGGCCTCCAAGGCTGTCTAGCCCCTGTCCGGAGGAGCAGGAAGCCAGGCTGGTTTATCCCAGTTTACCCCACGTGGAGCTCTGGGCCCGGGGCGCAGGAACTGCAGGCCTACCTGGGTGAGTACCAGCAGCAGGCACGTCTGAGCCCTTTGGAAGTGGAAAGGGGTGCACCCTGGGGCAGTGCTGGTCCAGGTGGGAGGGGGCTCGGTAGTCCAACAGGATGCAGGACCCTCCTTACCATCCCCTCGTGGATGTAGCTACCGCTCCTGGCTCTCCCAAGCCCTGGGGTAGTGAGCTGGGGAGAGCCCCTCCATCCCACGAGATGCTCACACCTGTAAGGCATGTGCAGACCCGACCCCCACCCCAGTGCATGCCTGTACAAAGCTGGACCCCTGAGAGGTGTCACCCCCCACTCTGCTCCCTCCACTCACTTTAGTTATAGGCAGTAGTTTCATTTGCAGACCTGGACCCCAAGCCTTGCTGAAGGCAGGGGCAGAGGGATACAGCCCCCGCTTGTCTCCCCAGGGCCTTCAAGGGCAGGCAGAGGATAAATCCTCAGCTGTCCTCTTTGTTCATGGACAGAGGGCTGCTGCAAGGACTCTTGACCTTGTCCTTCCTGTCCCCCCCTCCACTTAGCCTCCCTCCTACAGCATCCCAGGGACATGTGCAAGCAGCAGGCGAGGGACACCTTGTTCCTGGAGGGGTGGGGGAAGAAGCCAGCTGCTGGACAAAGAAGATGAAAGCTCCTCCCTTGCTGCCCTCTGCACCTGCTTTCCTCAGCCCTTCCTCGCTGCCCGGGGGGCAGAGGGTGCCCGTGCCCAGGTCCGAACACTGCTCAGAAGGGGAAGATGTGGATTCAAACCCCCTCTGGCTATGCGGGGGGGCTTGAACCTGTGTCTCCCACTCCCTGCACAGATGCCCTAACCACTAGGCAGTTGTCTGGGGAGGTGAGGCACCTGCCTGTGTTGAACAGGCATTAGCGGTGTTTTTCCTGCAGCTCAAGCTTGTGGGGGGACTTGGGCAGAACTGAGACACTTCCCAGGGGTGGGTCATGCTGCCAACAGGGTATAAGCGGAGGCAGACAGCTTGGTGGAGCTCTTATGAGTTTGCTCATGTGGCCACACGAGAGAGGCATGAGGAACACAACCATCCTGGCAGCCCCTGGCGAACTTTTAGTATTGGGCCTCCCTTTGCCAGAGATGATGATGATGATATAATAAAAATTACCATTTTCAGGCCCCATTTTGGTCCAGGTCCCAGGCAGCCACCTTGTTCACCCATGCCTGTGTCCAGCCCTGCATCCCAGGGTGGCTGGTTGTTGCTCAGGGCGCATTAGGACAGCATGTAGTGATGCAGACCCCAAAGGCTGCCAAGGGGCCTTTTAGCGGTGGATTAGGATGTGGCCCTTTGGGCGAGGGTGCACGATCCGTTCAAGTGAGTGAACAGGGGCAGGGATGTACCAGGGAGCAGCTCGGGTGTTGTAGCTGTTCATGCACCAGCCACATGCGCAACGGCAAGGGAAAACTGAACCAGTGTCATTGAGCCCTGTTGCATCCAGGGGGAAGCTGTCCCCCATTTGTTTTCACCTGCCGCAGTGTAATTATGGACGCAGGAACGACTACCTGGCAGCAGCTGCTTTGCACTAAATCCCTGTCCCCGCTAACTCGCTTCAGTTTGCTTGTCTGTACCCCTGGGCTCTCTGCCTCTCAGTCTGGGAGAGCAGGGGAGCTTTGCCCTGGCATGCGGGGGAGTTTGGGGAACAAAATCTCCGACAGCGCTCCAGTATTGTGGGACTGGGCTTGCTAGGCAGTCAGGAAAGGGCTGGCTGCCCCCTTCTTTGCACTGTTTGGTTGGGAATTAAAACTATTTTAATTTTAGATAGTGTTTGCTAGAGCCTGAAACCCACTGGAGCAGGTGGTTTCGGTGGAGGAGTTCTTGGTTCAGGCCGTGCTGGCACTATCATCTTCTGAGCAGAGCCAAGAGGTCTCAAGTGTGCTGAGAGCTTGATTCCCCTGCGTGCTCCGCGCATACATGGCAAGGGCAGTCCAGGCAGCAGCGGAGACAACCGAAGGCTGGTATTTTGCAGGCAGCACCTGGGGCACAGAGGGGTGCCAGCATCCATCCAAAGGGGTGTCAGCAGCTCTGGGGCACGTACCAGACTGGCTGTAGACTAGCCATGGCAGCACCGATCTCACCAAAGGGGTGAGCAGCTGGGCTTCACCTGCACTGAACTGAGCGAGCTCCAAATGCAGCCACAGGGATGACTGCAGTGACCGCAGGACTGATGTGATTTGCCCAGCAACCATAACTGGGTCTCTCTGGGCCCGTTTCACCCTGCCCCATCGCGCTGGTGGAACAGAGGCCTCCGACTCCTCCGTCCTGTCCCTCCGCTTCCTGCTCCAGCACTTGCGACCATGCTCGGTGCTGTAGCCTGGCTTCCTCTCTGCTCCACTAACCAGGTCTCATCCCCGACAGCTATCGCTAGACCCTGTCCCAGTGCTCCCGTCTCTTCACATGGGGTGGACTGGACATGGGGGGAGAGTTTTTTGTGGCCAAAACTGTCCATTTGTGAGACATACGTGTGCTAGATTTTGATAGTTTTGACCCATTTGACATTTTCAGGGGATTCAGCTGGTCAGCCCAGCCCAGAGCACCTCACAGGGGGAGCGACCTGGGTGGGTGGCTACAGTTAACTTGGTTGTGGAGTGCTCAGTACGGAGAAGACGCACCTACATGTGCAGTAAATGCTGTTTGGCTTTACTGCACAATACATTTACTACTTGCATCTGCAGGTAGTAAATTTACTGCACATTAGTCTAAATTTAACGTGCAGCAAGTGCCTGCATGTGTAGACAGCGATGCTTTACTGCATAGTAGATTAGTCTACTCCACAGTAAAGCATCTCGTGTAGACGCAGCCAAAAAGTCTGTAACTGCAGCAGCAGAAGCTTCCTTCTAGCAATCGGTGCTGAGCTGTGTGTGGGAAGAGCAGCTCATAATGCAGGCGCGGTGGGAATGCGTGTAGCCTGGAGAAGTTGATGATAAGCTTCATAGTCTCCCTGCCCCCCCAGAATATAGATAAGGAAAGGTGCCACATAAATGAATGCATAACAGTATCGGGCTTTGTACACCACACCTGTTGTGCCCTTGACTTCCTGAGGCCATGGCTCCGATGGGAAGAAACAAAGCAGGGATTCAGAGGCAGCATCCCCCACCCTGCCTACAAGGGGCACGGGCTGTGCGCCAACCAGAGCTAAAAGCCAGCCTGCTTTAATGACAGACAGAAAAGGCAAAGAGCCAGGACGCAGGCTGTTGCAAGGGCCAAGGCTGACAGCCTGTAGCCAAGAGGCAAGCTACAGGAGTCTGGAGATGGGCCAGCAAATCTAAGATGCTGGGCGGTAGCAGAGCAGGGGCTGTAACAAGGACCGGGGCTGAGACAAGGTTTGTAAGCCGGCAGCATGACCTGCACGTCTGGGCTCAAAGCAGGTCTGACCGCGGCGCTCCCCGGCACAGGTCTGAAGGCGTAAGCATGTCCCTACACTCCTATAGGCAACATATAAAGGCACTTAGGCACCTGGGATGGGTGAGGGGCCTGAATATCTTTGAGGATCAGGAGCTGAGTGCCTAAATCGCAGCTAAAACTAGGACTAAGGCACCTAATCCACTTGGACTCCTCTGCAGATTGTACGGCAGGCCCTTTGTGGGTTTAACAGAGGCTGACGGGCTGGTGTTTCCTGCCCAAAGCACCAGCGCTGACGGTGGGGAATGACTCACTGTGTCAGCAGCGCACTGTGCAGGAGGGAGGGCGTTGCAGGCTGCTGGCAATCCCCTGCCTGAGCACTCGAAAGTGAAACTCTCTGTTTCCCTTGCCCAGAAGATCAGCCATGGCTCAGGTTGTTCTGAGCCTGAGCGAGAGTCTCCAGGATGAAGCCACCTGCCCCATTTGCCTGGAGTTTTTCAGGGACCCCGTGATCACAGACTGTAGCCACAACTTCTGCCGGGAGTGCTTTGCTCAGCACTGCAAGGAGTCGGCGAGGAACATCTCCTGTCCGCAGTGCAGGAAGAAAATCCAGCAGAAAAACTTGCGGCCTAACAGGCAGCTGGCCAACATGGTAGAAATCGCCATGAAGCTCAGCCTGGAAGCGGCCAGGAAGGCAAGAGAGATCGTGTGCGAGAAGCACAAGGAGCCTTTGAAGCTCTTCTGCGAACCCGACCAGAGTCCCATCTGCTTGGTGTGCAGGGAGTCCGAGGAGCACAGGGCTCACGCCGCCGTCCCCATAGAGGAGGCTGCCCAACACTACAAGGTAGGAAACCCCCAGGCGCCCTTGAATCCTAAGGGAGCAGGATCAGACCCTGGAGCTGGAAAGCATGGAGTGTGAGGCCATGGAGCATGCAGTGAGGGGAGGCTTGCAGGGTGCAGGGAGGGTGAAAAGAGTAAGGGGTGGGGGGGGGGTCCTACAATCCTTACCCAGGGGAACGGGGACTGGAGGGCCCGGGGTAGACAGTGCACACAGCGCCAACAGCATGGGGCAGAGAATGGGGTCCCTGGCATGGGAAGAGGGGGGAGCTCATGGAGCCACCGACAGGAGAAACTATGGACTGTGGGATGGTGGGAAAGGAGAAATGGGTGAGCTGAGGATGTGCTGGGGCCCTGGCATGGGAGGGGATACAAAACCGGGGGGGATGGGGGTGCACATGAAACCACTGGTGTATGGAAACCTGGCAGGGGAGGAAGGGAGCACGCAGAGCCCCTGGCGCAGGGGGGATTGCAGAGGGTCCTTTCTGATGGGAAGAAGGCCAGCAGCAATGTGACACAGGGGTGGTGCAGGATGCATGCAGCCTCGGCATGGGGAAGAGCTGGGGACCCTGGCAGGGGGGCAAGAGTGTGGGCATGGGGGAAGAGAGCAGGGGGCAGAGACCATCTTGGGCAGAGGGGCGACTGGGGGTCCCTCGAAGGAAGTCGTCATCCCAGGATGAGGTGCAGCACATGGCATCATCTGTCTTGCTGGGGTGGAACTGGGCTGGGAGCTGGAAGCCTTGAGCACGCTCGAGAGGCTATAACAGAAAGGCGGGAGGAATGCAACCATCCCGGGTGTGCTGGCTGCTGCTCAGCGTGCATTAGGGTGGCATGTAGGATGGCCACTTCTGTCCCTCCACCCCATCACCCTGCAAGAGGTGCAGACAGAAGAGGACACCCAGATCTAAGCCCCATGTTCCTTTTCAGGAGAAGCTTCAGAACAGCTTGCATTTCTTGCAACAGGAGAGGAAAGAATTCAACCCCAAAGGAGACGAGAAAAGCAATGAAATGCTGGTAACTGTCTCCCTGTCTGTCCATGTGTCTGTCTTCTGATACAGGGCTGATCACCGCAGTTCCTGAGGGCCTGCTGGTTGTTCACATCCCATTGGGCTGATCCCCGGTGCTGGCAGCCCGTGCGTAGCCTCAGCTGCATTGCTATGAGAGGGGCAAACGCTGCACTTAGCTGGGGCCTGAGCAGACGACGTGGACTGTGTCCACTTATGAGAAATGTGCACCTCTGTCTGGGCCGGCAGGGCTGGCGGGACTATCCATCACGAGTTTTGTTACCTACCCGTTCTAGCTTTAGGAGCAGGCTGTTCCCCAGTGGGTCCCCAGCTTTTCTGAAGAAGCCGGTTATTCCCCCTTTTCCCCTCTTCTCCCACTGCCTCGGGCTCCCTTTCCAATCCCCCCTCAATAGCTGCCATCAGTGCTAGATCAGGCCCCTCGTTTCCCACTCCCCAGCCCCTCTCGCCCACACACATCCACTTTCCATCCCTGCTGCTGCTTCTTGCCTCTCAGAATTTCAATCCAACCTCAAGCCTGCTCATCCTCAGGGCCTTCGGCCTCCGCATTAATACCAAGCTCAGCCTTTAGCCTCCACCACCCCTCACCTCTCACTTGATTTTTCACCCCTGTATCGAGTGCCTTTGCACCAGAATGGCTGCTCACTTGACATTGCCTTCTCAGACAGATCAGATGAAAGTTTTGTAAGTCCTGTGTGTGATCATTGTGCTCAGTGAGTGGTCGTCAACAGCTCCATGTCTGCTTGGGAGGAGGTACCAACTGAGGTCCCCCAAGCACCTATCCAGGGTCTGGCATTGCTTAGCATCTTCATGAATGATTTGGAAGATGAGATTGAGTGCATCCTTAGGAAATTTGCAGGTGACGCCACAATGGGTGGAGTTGCAGACACTCTAGAGGACAGGGCTAGGATACAGATTGACCTGGAAAAAATGGAAAAATGGTTGACAACCAATCAAGAGAAATTCAGCAAGGATGAGTGCAAAGTCCTGCACTTGGGATGACTTTTTAAAAATTTAATTCAAGTGCCAATTCAGTCCCCAATTCAAAGGAGCAAAGCTCATTAACGGTGTCTACAAAAATCCAGGGTTCATAGAACTTCAAATAGACCAGTATCTTGCATCCTAGGAGCTCAGATGCTTCCCATATCCAGACAGGAACTACATGCAAGTCCCAGGACCAGAGTCCTGGGAGTCTGGATGCCCCCAGTCACACTTGATCTTGGCCAAAAAAAATTGCATGCACAAATCCAGGCCAGGGAATGACTGGCCAGGCTGTAGGACTGCAGAGAAGGACGGGGCTCACAGGTAAATGTGAGCCAACAGTGCATTCTTGTTGTAAAAAAAGACCACTAGCACCCTGGGCTGTATGAACAGGAACATCACTTGCAAATCAAGGGAAGTGATTCTTTTACTCTCTTCAGCCGGCGAGGCCTCCCCTGGAGTCCTGTGTCCAGGCTTGGGCCCCGCGTTTCAACAAAGACGTGGAGAAATTAGAAAGGCTCCAACACGAAACAACAACAATTGTTCGAGGCCTGGGAAGCATGACTTCTGGACGTGCTGAACGAACCGGGGTGATTTGGTCTGGAAAAGTTTTCAAATATCCGAAGGGCGAGTATGAAGAGGATGGTGATGAGACTGCCCTCCGAGTCTGCAACTAATGGACAGGACCAGGAGCAACGGTCCTAAATTGTAGCCAGGGAACATTTAGGATGGAGATGAGGAAGAATGCTTTCTCTCCCAGGATGGTTAGGCACTGGAAAAGGACATGGCATCTCCATCCTGTTTAAAAGTAGGTTGAGCAGACACTTGACTGGGAAGGGTTAGTCGGGGACAATCCTGCCTCGAGCAGGAGGCTGGACTAGATGCGACCTCCTGAGCCCAACTTTTGCGTGATTCTTGAATCCCTGCTTCTTCCGGCCTTTCATCTCCAGTGCTGCTTCTGCCCAGCCACTACCTTGCCTCCTTCGGTGGCACTCGCCCTTTGGCCATCTCATCCACGAGCTGTACCACTCCGTCCCCTTCTCCCTGCCGTCTCCTCCCTAGGGCTCAGTTCCTATGAAATCCCCTTCTCCCTCTCTTCCCCCCCAAGATGTTTTTGCCCTGCCTTCCCCACACCAGACCTATTCTTGCACTTCCCCAACTCGGGCAATATTCTCGTGTGCAAAGATCCACGAGAAGCAAAGCAGCTCCTCCAGTATTTTACTAACCCCTAGCCCTGTTCCCGGCAGAGACAGGTGGAGTCCGAGAGGCAGGACGTTTTGTCCGAATTTGAGCAGTTGCACCAGTTTCTGAGCGAGCAGCAGTGCCTTTTCTTGTCGCAGCTGGAAGTGATAGAAAACGAGGTTTTAAAGAGGCAGAATGAGTATGTCACCAGGGTTTCGGAGAAGAAGTCCCTCCTCGCCACTCTGGTCACCGAGGTGGAGAAGAAGTGTGGCCAGCCTGCGATGGAGTTCCTCCAGGTGAGGCTGCGTTATACGTGCCCGCCCCCCGTGCAGGATGGAAAGGGCGTACCGTACCTTTCCTTCCTACCCGGTACCGCAGAATTACTGATTGCTACACTGAAATGTGGAGTTACGCCAGCCTGTGGCATGTATGTCAGCTGAGGCAGTAGTTCTTCCTCTGCGGTGGAGAGCAGTGGCCCACGGGGAAACGTTCTGGAGCTCCAGAAACTACCTCCTGCCCAGTGCATTAATTCCCGTGTCTGTCCGCTGGGAGCCGGTCCACTGACCTTGCAGCAAGGCCCATGGAGGCAGACCCTCTCCCAGCCCAGAATCGGGGCCTGAGTCCCCCTGGGTAATGCCCCCAGAGCAGAGGTGTGTGAACGCAGAGTGACCCGGAGCAGGGAAGGCTCTGGGCTGTGATCCCCAGGTGCACCCAAGGGACTTGCAGGTCCACCGCAGCAGGCCAGTCCCCTTCTTGTGACACACGCTGAGCTCTGCTTTCCTTCCCTTGCAGGATGTTGGCAGCACCCTGAGCAGGTACGTCCTGGGTCCAGCCTCCCATCTCATTCCCGCTTGGAAGCAGCGTTGAAGCCCCAGTCTCCCACCATGCATCAGTGAAGCGGGGGAAGTGGGTTTGCACAGCGAGTATTTATTTGACTTGCTTGTTCTCTGGAGGTGGGGACTAGGCTCAGAGCATCCTAGCCAGTGGGCCTGCTTCGTGGGCAGGCGGGGGGTTTGGGGTTAGACGGCTGTGCACCTGGGTGCGCTCAGCGCGTCTCCGTGTGTCTCCCTAGGTGCGAGGGTGTGAAGGCTCCCACCCCAGAGCCCGTTCCCCCTGAGCTGGAGAAGAAAGTCATCAGCTTCTCTGAAAATCGCATCCTGGTCACGGGCCTGCTGGCCACCTTCAAAGGTCAGACAAAGCGATGCTCGGTGTGCCACCTCTCTCCCTGAGAGCCCGTGTGTCTCCCTCCCTCCCTCCTTCCCTCCCCAGTCTCTGGCTTCTGGTGCTCCACATGCTCTTGTTCATCTCACCCCCTGATCACTAAAGCCCCCCATGGCTGTCACTGGTCCCCAGGTTTCCAGCTCTGCCATCACAACCATTCTTCAGGTCCCAAGTCTCTTCCCAGTACTTCCCCCAACGGAGTGCTCTGCTTCCACTCCGTCATGCTTTTGGCACCTTTGGGCCACCAGCCCCATAAAGGACCCTGGCAAAGGTTGTGTTGGCTGTTGATGGATGAGCAGAAGGAGGGATGCTCAGTCTGGGGTGAGGCTGTGACCGCACAGAGCAGGCTGCTGGGAGGGTGGAGCGGTGCGGGATAGGCACAAAAGATTGTCCCAGATGTTGTCTTCTCTCCACCCTGGCTAAAAACTCACTGTCACACTGAACAGAAGCAATATCATCCTGGGGACTGGCAGACGGGAGGTCTCATCCCTGTCTTTCTTTTCTTCCCATAGAGAATCTGCGAGCCGCGATGGATAAAGAAAGAGGTAAATGTCTGTAGCTGATGGACACAAGTAAGAGGCAGACGCTTTCCTAAGAGGAAGGTGGAAGTGTCTTCTGTCTTTGTGGCAGAGAGGGGGCTGTGCCACAGCCTCTGCCCCCAGGCTTAGATACAGGAGCACTCAGATCATGGGATTTGTTTGGACTTGTTATAATACTGCAGGCCTGGCACTGCCCTGTGTCAGTGCAAAAGGGCTCTCTCTTCCCATCTAACATGTGGCATCCGAGAAGAAACCCAGCAGTATTTGCCCCAAAGCTGCCCTGCCCCCTGCAGAACTTCTCTCCCATGGCATTGGGAGCCAAGTGCTTGGACACATGTGCAGGCCTTATGGCATTATCTTGCAGGTGTAATGGCATTGAACTGGGGCCCCAAAGCAGGGTGAATATCCTCACATGGGCAATGCTTAGGTTGGGATGTTCAAAATCTGAACTGGATGCAAAGAGCCCAGGGAGGGAGAGAGCCACTGCCAGGGTGTTTGGCCCTCCCTCTGCTCTGGAGGAAGAGGCACCTGAACCCAAACAGAGGTTTTCCCCCTCTGGCCTCCACCAGCTGTATGAATCCCTTTAGGGGTGTCGCAGGATGTGGGTTCAGTTTTGTGACCAAGTTAGTGGTTGCTGGATTGAAGGGCTGGGGCCGAGGACAACCGAGTGTCATGAAGCATGTGAAATGGGGGCAAGTGAAATAAAGGGAAAAGGGGCTTTACATGGTGGCAGTCATGACCAGACAGGACCACTTTGGGGCTAGCTGTGAGCTTTGTTGAGACTAACTCTAAGGGCCAAATCCTATTCTCTACCTTGGTGATTCTCAACCAGGGATGCACAAGATCCTTTGGAGGGTGATGTGCAATATTAGCACCGCTGGGTGTGTAAACACCTGCACAATTCACACAATAAACCCAGAGATTTCCAATGGGAATCCAGAGCGTCACAAGCACTCTGCCCTGCTGCGGGCTTGCTGGGCTCTTTGCAGCAGAATCGCTCCAGCATTTTTCCATTGTCAAGAAATGAGTGAAAGCAAAGAGCTGGCATTTTTTCAGGGCTGGGGGTGGGGGGTCTGGAGTCTGACAAGGTTGGGGACCATTGCTTTACCTAGGAGTGCCTCAGTAGACTTAGGCACCTTTATATGATCCTCACCCACCTGCTCAAATCCCTCAAAAAACATGAACTTCCGTACTGTGCTGACACACCACCAGAGCCCTAAAACTTAGTCGTTCCAAGCAAGCTCACCTGCCTTGTGTGTGCACTGTTTTTCAGAGACTTGGGCAGGGTGGATACTCCACATCAGCTCTTCATGGGCACACCAGGATCTGGCCCTCATTATTTTACCACCCGTGACTCCTCAGCATTTACTTTGGCCTCAGAAAACTTCTGCAAACAACAATCCAATTTACACATGGCGTTTCTCTTTTAAGGAAAAAAACCCCACTGCCTAGATTAGCTATTTACCCTTTCTGAGAGCTGCAGTGAGGGTCCACCTACCCTGCACAGCCCAGGTAGAAAGGAGTCCTAGCACAGTTACAGCTTGATGGTGGTCTTGCAGCGCCCTCAGATTCATGTGTTTGGAGCTAGAGGTTTGATTAAGTCCCTCTACCGTGACAGCGAACAGCCCCGAAATTCAGATCTAGGCTGGGATTTTGCACAGCTTCTTCCACAATCCACCCAAGAGGGCCAAGTATGTCTCTAATTACAGAAACCTCTGTCCTCAGTGGTCTTGAGCGTGGTACCATTTGCCGAGCTCTCGCTAGCACAGCTTTTGTCATTCTGGGAATTGCTCCGTGATCCTGTACAAAGAAGCACGTTGCTACGGCCAGTTCCCATCATGACAAAAGCTGAGCTAACTAAGGAACTCGCTGCATCCTGTATCCCTTTCACCAACACGTCAGTGTTGCAGAGGAAATCGGAGATCAGGCCAGCATACATCTGGGCCCCCTCGCTTAGCTGTTACAGGGTAATCAGAAGAATAACAAGGGATCTGGAAATGTTCTGGCATGCTCTCCTGCAAGGCTAAGGGTATTTGCATTAGTGAGGTGAAATCCCACGGCTGTGGAAATCAACTGTAAAACTGCTGTTGATCTTAGCGAGGCTAGGATTTCAGCCAAATCTTATTCCTGACTCAGATCCAGGGAGAGTCTCTCCTGATCTTTGCTGAGATGATGAATATACCTTCTTCCTTACCCCTACCCCCCCCGAAATCTGGAGGAAGATGAATTGGCAGTGTGCTTCTCGGAGACCTTAACATTGTGTTTTCTCTCCTTCCCTTTCTGTGCATCCATCCTTAGCCGACGTCACTCTAGACCCAGACACAGCATATCCCTTCCTTGCGCTGTCGGAGGATGGGAAAAGCATGAGGCTTGGACAGAAGCAGTCGGACATACCTGACAACCCCAAGAGGTTCACTTCTAGCCCCAGCGTCCTGGGCACCGTGGGATTCGCAGCAGGGAGGCACTATTGGGAGGTGGAGGTAGGCGACGGGAACTCCTGGGCTGTGGGGGTTGCCACCGAGTCCGTGAAGAGGAAAGGGCAGCAAGATCTTATAACGGGAGGGATCTGGGCCCTGCGGCGTGGCTGGAACGATCAGTACACAGCTCTCACTTTCCCCCCAACCTTGGTCTCGCTGGAGGAGAAGCCCAGGATGATCAGAGTCCACTTGGACTATGAAGAGGGGCAGGTGACCTTCTACAACGCAGAGAACATGGTGCAAATCTACCAATTCACTGCCACTTTCCATGAGAAAATCTTCCCTTACTTTTGGCTCTGGTCACCCAACTCCCAGCTCCGGCTGCATCCCTAAAGGGTATCACTGTTCTCGGAGCATCTTGCAGAAGTAGTCCTGGACGCTTCATCGGAGCCAGAGAGACGGGGTCTATAGGACTGCGCCCTCGGGGATGCTCTGCATCTGTTTCATGACAAAACACACAAACTCCCTGCCTACCCCTGGATCATCCCCGCCCAGTGCTGCGAAGCCCCTTGAGAGCGCTCCATACTCCACGTTTGAATGGGTAAGGGGAGGGCATCATAGCACTCTGCGGGGGCACAGGAAGGAGGAAAAGCCACCTGAGACACAGGTGGCTTCAGTAAAAGAAGTATGGGAGGAAGTTTTGGGCATAAATACTGAATAGGAACGCCATTCTGAGAGCAGCCTGGTGGCTCGAAGACCTGGGGTTTGGTTGCTGGCTTGAATCGTGACTTGAATTAAGATTGTCCATCTCTGGGGCAGCCGATGTGGCATCTTTCCTAGACCCCAAATTCGTAGCAATTTCGACCGCCCTCTCCTTCCCTGTTTGTGCTTTCCTACTGGCTTGAAGCAGTAACCAATAGTAAACGGTGTTCATATGCTGGTTTCTTCCTCGAAAGCTTTTGAGCAAATCAAGCTAAGTGTTCCTGTGTCCTCACAATGACACGGGTCTGCGACATCCGCCAAGGGGTTGGGCGCCAGTTGGTGCAGCTGTGATGCATCGAGATTTCCGTATGGGTATTTCATGTTAAAGTACCATCTAGCGGCAGGTATGGGGAAGGTCACCGGGAGCCTTGCAGGCTCTGGCTTCCTGCTCCAGAAATTTGGATTTTACCATCGGAAATTCTGCTGCCGTCCTCCTCCGTTTCGGTGCTAAGAGAAGCTTTTCATTTCAGCTGGAAAGCAAACGCCTGTTTCTCTAGCCTCTCATCCCTCTGCTCCTGGGATCTAGGGGCTGTCACCAGGGAGCATTTTGGTGGAAAGCCCTTGGCAGAGCGATGGCAGCATATCAATGCCCCTGGGAGACTGAGTCAGACCTGCAGGGAACGGCCACCAACCCAACATCAGCAGCTCTGGCAAATCCTGGTCACTTGGGAGAAGTCTCTTATTCCAGATGCATTCACAGACCACTTCCATGCCTCTTCCTGCAGCCATGTGAAACCGGTCCCAGGCAAGCTGCCATCGCAGGAGGAAACGGCCCATCCTAAGGCTTTGGCTTGGGGGATGCTGTCCCTATGTAGCACCTTCCTTTTCACCTTTTAAAGACACGCATGCGCGTTCATGTGATAACGGTACTGGAAGGAGGGGAAAGGAATTATCGAGAAGGGAGGGAATTGAACCCATATGTTGTGACAGTTCAGGGAGGAGGTTGAGAAATGCACAAATGCATTTTTCTCTCTTGGAGGCCTGCACATGTCTCGCATGAACAGGGAGGCTACAGAGCCGCACACAGCACCTCTGCCAGGGACCGTGTTTCCTTTCCGCTCGGCAGCTCTTCTCGCAGGCAGGTGAAAGCGTGCCGCAGCACGCCGCTGTGCAAGGATGCTCGGTGGACTGCTCGTTCTGAGGGCTAACGAGAGAGAACAAGTAAACCAGACCTGGGGGGTGCGGGGGGAACTACAAAAAATAAACCAGAGCAGTGAGCTGCAGGCGCCTGGTGACTCGCCAACTGGAAGATGCTAAAGAGCCAATGAGTTAAATATGATCTGCAAAGAGGGGGGGGAAATGAGCTTTTGGCTTTTTTTCCCCTTTGGATGCATAAGAAAGCCATGGAACATTATTTTCACAATATAGGACTGCAGTACTAGTAGGGTTACTATGAGACAAAATAATGAAAACCGAGCAGCTGAGAGGGGAAGAAAGGCTTAATCAGACTATTTTGGATTCTTTTGGGGTTTCTCTGTTAGCCCCAAGCTTTGCTTTTTGCATGTTGCTGCCTTTCTTTTAGCTGTTCATTGCTGATAGATAAGTGGTGTCACATGAAAGCAATAGCCGGGCTCCCCTTGTCCACACGTACACAATGCATGGATTAGGGATCGTGAGCTGCTCTCTGGCTCAGTCAGAACGGCCTCAAATCGTACTCTAAGTCACCAGCTGTGGTGCGGGTACCACCAGTGGTACGCAATCTGCCTGGCAGTGGTACGTGTTGGCAGATTTATTAGAATTATATGACAAAAAAATTGATGGTTGTACTTCAGGCCAAGCTGAAAAAATTGCTGGTGGTACTTAATGCTGTATCATTTTAAACTGCGGTTTGGGAACCGCTTCTCCAAGGAGGTTTCTGCCTGGGGTTGGGATAGTGTCCCAAGGGACATTTGGAGGGTGGTCAAGATTGCTGAGCCTTCCTTGGCACAGGGGCTATCTATCCATTACCCTCCAACCTTGTATATTGGGCTCTCAGCTCTGCGATAAAGAAGTGTTACTTAGCGCCTGTTTAAGTCAAACACCTGGAAAACAATAGGGAGAAAAAGGTTTAGGGATGAATGATTCAGCCACCTCAATCATAACCTTTCAAATGCAAACTGAAGAAATCCCTGCCAAGGTGCTTATTCTAGTTCTCTAGGAATACAAGGCTAACTATCCCCAGCATTTCTTAGGTTAAAAAAAATCTAGAAAAACAAAATAGGAGATAAATTTAAGGTCTAATCCTACTCAAAGGTGACTTTTTGGCTGAATGGAGCCCCACTGAACCCCAGTGCGGAAGAGTCCCAAGAGTGCCGCCCCGTTGCTTTCCATTCATGTTCGCACTGATCCTTTCGTCTACAGCAACGGTTCCCAAACTCTGACGGGTTGCACACCACCAATTTAAAACGATACAACCTTACGTGCCACTAGCAAATTTTTCAGTTCAACCTTAAGTACCGCCAGGAAAGTTTTGTCATATAAAGTAATTGTAATAAATCAGTTAATGCGTACCACTGACAGGTTGTGGTGGTACGCCTACCGCTGATCTACAGCCTTACTGGAGCGGAGGGGTCAGAGCAGCATTTCCCAATCCCACGGTCCTAACCAGTGGAATACACAAGGGGCCTGTCATTGAGGGTGTGATTGGTGCCTTTGTGTGATTGCTGTCTTCTAACACTCAAGATCTGTCTGCAGCATTGACCTAAACATCCTGCTCAGTGACACAAGGATGTGCAGTGGTCTTTCTCTAGACTGTGCACGGACTTTTTTAAAAGTGCACGCACACGTACACACACAACATTGATAATGAAACCCGTGACGCTTCCCGCTGCGGCCGCCTGGGACTGACATTTTGTGCAACGCCTTTTTATATTGAGCTATCAGCCACCTTATACCAAAGCCTTCACACAAAAGTAGGTGCCGCATCCAAAGCAGACGACTCTCATTGATCTTGCAAAGCTCTCACTTGGATCAGAAATGACAGGAAGGGTGTCGAAGGGAGGGAAGAGTGGGGATCATGGGATTGGGGGTGGGGGGGGTTGGCTTTGTCATCAGTATGTGTGATTTGTGAAATAAAGTACATCTTTTCCATCCCCAAATCGGGGTATAAACTTTTCTTCTGTCGTGTATAGTGATAATGTAACTGCTTGGGGCTTGTGTTGGACACCAATAGGGCCAGGAAGGAATTCTTCTCCCTTTCTATTACTGGATTCTGGTTTTCTTTTGTTTTGTCTTCCTCTGATGCGCTGGGTGCGGGTCACAGCTACGGCTGGCGATGCTGACTGGCCAGTATATAGGAAGCCCAGAGGCTCCTAGATCGAGGGTCCTGGACGCTCATCCCCTCGGGGGTCGCGCCAATCTCCAAATCTGGGGTCAGGAAATAAGTTTTCCTCAAGTCAAACTGTCAAAGGCTGCGAGGGGGTTTTGCTTTCCCACAGAGCATGGCTGGCTGGCCTTTTCTCTGATCATGAGCAGACACTAGCCCAGTCCTTGCCTGGCATTGCAGCGACAGGGCGCCGTGTTTCTCACGCCACGTTGTAGGGTGTCGCTCATCCCCACCACCCCGCGGGGCAGCAAGGTGCCTGGCAGCAGAGATGCAAGGCAGCTAGGGTGGTTTGCTGTCTTCATCCCATGCCTCCAGGAGCTGGGGCTTGACAGGAAAGCACGGAGCACTGAGAGGCTGGTGCTAAGCTAGCGAGGCCGGCCTGGACACTGCGGGAATGGCTGCCATGTGTGCACCTCATGGCTGTGTGAGGCTGGACCAGGACCTGGGGGCTAAGCTGGGTCTCTAGAGCAGCCTCATGCCCCACAATGAAACTGGGTGAAGGGACTTGCGGACTACAAGTCCCAGCATGCAATGCGCCCGGCGGCCCAGCTTCCCCTTTTGGGCCAAGAGGAGCATTGCATGCTGGGACTTCCGGTCTTGTTGGCGCATGCGCCAGCATGGGGTTGCATGCTGTTGGCTTGCCCACGAGGAAACCCTCCGACGAGCCCATCGGGCAAGCTTAGTGGTCGGTTCTGCTGTCAAACAACCCTGGGGGAGGGAGGAGACAGGGCTAGGCTCGTTTCCATTGGCCGCACACGAGCCTCCTTGTCTGTTCTATTGGTCAGCACTGCGGAGGCCTGTTAACCTCTCAGGGACAGGCTTGGGCGGGGCTCACGGGGGATTGGCCGCCGGCAAGGCGAAGCGCCGCATGCTATTG